AGGCCTGCATGATTCAGGGAATACTTAGGTGGAAATTTGTGGAAGATAGCCACCACAGCGAGTCTTTAATGGAGTCTCACATTTGTTCATTCACAGCTTTTGCCTCAGCTTTAGTAGCTTTGCTTTTTCAAAATAATTTGACCAGATAAAGCCAAATAGAAAAATCAGTTTAGTATTAAATGGCATTATCTTGTTTTGGAGGGAAGTAATGGTGTTTTTTATAATTTTAAGAGGGTTCAGAACATTTCTCACTTGGATGTCATTGTAATAAATACATGTTCCTAGGAATCCTTTACGGAAGAATGACAGTAAACATTTAGTCCTGCTTTTTAATATTGCTCATAGTTGGTTTTCTATCCAGACACACCAGAAGTTCAGTAAGAAGAGGAGATTCGTCTGTTAATACATGAGAGGGACATAGAGATTAAATCTAATTGTAATACAATTAATTTCTCTGATTGGTGTCATATAGTGATTCTTAGGCTAGCCCAAGCAGGGTGTTGAAGCATTTATTTACCTGTTAGTGATGAAAGTTTCTAATCTACGAACTGCAGTTGTGGGTTTGGTTTTTTGTTTGTTTTTGTTTTATATCTCCAGTGACTTTAGAAATCAAATTATATATGGGAAGAAAAAAGGCTCTTTTTTGTCTTTTATAATTTTAGAAACTCCTCATTTCCAGTGCCATTTGTGCCATAATTCTATAGTCCAGATCTGCCATTTGACATGATTGATACTAACACCTTAAAATATTTTTCCTGTCTCATAATTGAGTGCCACCATGATAATTGAAGTAAATATTAGGTAGAAATAAAAATCCACATATTTAGTTAAATATATGAAAAGCTAAAGTTCTAGAGTTTTTGTTTTCATCATTTTTTAGACTTCATTAACATTACTAATTTTTAACTTCTTGGTCTGGATTAAAAAAGAAAGGCATACAATTGTTATCTGATATTTGCTGGATTAACTGTTAATGTAAAGTGTTCTCATGGTCCAGACTTAGGAATTACTGTGTATTTAAAGATATCATTATAGTGGTATTTGATATAATCCCAAGTATTTTTAACTAAAACTCACTGCTACCCTTCTTCAACTGTAGATTCTACTGTGAAATGAGGAAAAGTCAGCAAGCAGTAGGATTAATTGGGTTCAAAGTATATAAATAATGATGTAGGAAAGGGAAATCAGAGGGTATCCTGGAGGAACTGATTTAGCCAAAGGTAATATTAAGTGAAGGAACACAGAAACCGTGGTTTATGCAACTTTGTAATACATAGTAAGGGTTCTGTAAATGCTTGAATGAATAATTATTGTGGACTCAAATATGCCTTTAATTTAGCTAGTTGTCCGGGAATTATTTTTAGTTTATTGCACTTAATATTAAATTGCCTTTTATGGTTAAAAAGTTAACTCTAGTCTGTGAAATTTGGCTTTATAAAAGTAGTAAGTTAATTTATCTGACATTATTTAAGCCCAACTTAAATTTGTTAATTCTAAGGTGTTTCAGTTTTCAAGTCTTTCTAAAGGATTCTTTAGCCAACAAATTGGAGTGTTGGCTAGATTACAGTATTTTTCCTTTATCTTCCTTCCCCCAGTGCTTCTGCTATGCCCAGACGTTCAAGGTCACTCATGGGATTTGTGCATAATGGGGCAAAAGGTTGGTTAATATGGTCCTATGCTCTCAGTCTCTAGGTAACAGGAGAATTCGAGTGGACGTTGCTGATCAAGCACAGGATAAAGGTAAGAAAGCTGATAGAAATTTTCTTGTTTTGTTATGTTCCTAGGATGACAAAGCACAGCTGCCCTTTCTCAGAAAATTTTAATAGAGGTAGATAGTGGTAAGCCTACCATAATTTAGAGCAGTTGTTCTTAACTGAGGACAGTTTTGCCCCATAGGGGACATTTTGATGTTTGAAGACATTTAGGGTTGTCACTACTGACATCCAAATAGATAGAAGAATCCAGGGACTTATTGACAGCCCCCCACAACGAATTATCCAGCCCAAAATGTTAATAGTGTTGAGAGTGAGAAACCCCGTTTGATGTAGGTGAGCATTCAATATATAATAAATAGATTAGATATACAGCAGCACATTGTACACAAGGGGAACCTAATTCATGTATATATCAGGGCTCCTCTACAGATAAGCATTAAGCTAATATGAATAAGTGTGAGGAAATAAATCACTCATTTGAGTTGGATAGTGTGCTTACAGGTCTGGGGTAAACTCCATGACGACACTGTGGTATGAGTAAGAAATACAGTAAATTAAGGATTGAGGGGGGTTTTATGCATGCAAGAAATATTGGGCAAAAGTATTTGTGAGCTTACTCGTGGTTTTTTATCTTCTTTATCTATAGACAGAGATGATCGTTCTTTTGGCAGAGATCGAAATCGGGATTCTGACAAGACAGATACAGACTGGAGGGCCCGTCCTGCCACAGACAGCTTTGATGACTACCCACCTAGAAGAGGCGATGATAGCTTTGGAGACAGTAAGTTCATTTTTATCAACTTAGTTTCTTCTGTGTGTGTTTGTTTTAGAGACATTTATTTTTAAAAAACTAACGGATTCTAAAGTACTTGAATTAACAAGAGTTCAGCAAGACTGCTGGGTTAAGAGCAATATACAGTAAGTTCTCAATGTCATCAATAGGTTCTGTGTAACTTTAAGTGGAACAACATTTAATGAAATCAGTTTTACGAAGACTAGTTAATAGAAACACGACTTTAAGTTACTACAGAATCTCATCAACACAACAAAACAACATTGAACCAGAACTACATTATTCAAAGACGTGCTGTGCAAAAATTAGATGCATTGCTAGCAGAAAACAAAGTAAATTTTGAAGATATCTTTTAAAATAACAAAATTCGTTCTAAAATAATAAATGTCTACTATGTGCCAGTTACTGTCCTAAACTCAGGATACAGCAGTGAACAAAACAAACAAAAATCTTGTCCTTGTTGGACATTGCTTATACTGGGAAAAAAGAAACAATCTGCAAATAAATAAAACCTAATTTAGAGATGTGGAATAGAGAGTGTCATGGGGTGGGAGTTGGGGTGAATGACAAATTTGATAGACCACCTAAATCCAACAAAAGCATTGTAAAACCTTTATTGAAGAAGTTATGCAACTTTATTGAAATAATGTGAAGAAATACTCCACACTGGTTATTTTTAAAATGGAAAAAATCTAGTATTCAGTAAAGAAATGACAAGTAGTGGTTTGTCCATATAATGGATTACTTTATAGCACAACATACATGTAACAACAGGGATAGAATTTAAAACCTATTATATTGATAGGGAAAGCAAAAATGTAGAAATTTGAAAACAATATCATAGTGTTAATATGTAAGCTATAAAAAAATGTATGTGTGGTAATGTTACCACCTTCATGATTATGGAGGGAGTCCTTTAGCTACAACTATAACATAATTGCCCTTTTTTTGGTGACATTGATTAAACATACTGCTTTTAAATTTAAAGACAAATAAACATGGCAAAAATATTGACATCCACTAAACCTAAATAATAGGTTCATAAGTCTGTTATAATCAACTCTGTACTTTCCTGTATGTTTGAAAATATAAGTAAAAAGAAATTGAAAGAACAACTTAAATTCACAAAAATTTTAATGAGCTTTGTACCAAATATAATTGAGGAAGCAGTAAGAGATAGATTCCTGTTTGAAGAGAGTCCTCCACAATGTAATAAGATGTAGAAGGAAAAAGGAAATCAGGTTTACATCTGACTTTATAATCAAGATTTTGTGACCCAACAAAGCCTTGACCAGAATTACCTTGAGTTACTTCACTTCAGCATTTATGCAAGTTCTATTATCAGGAAGAAATAACTCTCAAAAGAAAAATCAGTTAGATCAGGGATCCCATTTTAAATCCTACATTTTCTCACCTGAAACCTTGAATTTAGAGCAAGCAGGATGGATAACAAGAAAGAGTTGTTATCCAAAGCTACAAAGTTTGTAGAACTTGGTTATGGCCCCAAAATCAGCTCTACCAACATGTGAGTGATCCCAGACTACACCAACAGGTCAGAGGTTCCTATCTCATGCTTTGGGCCCATAAAAGACACTTTGGAGGTGAGGGGGGAGTATTATATTAAATAATACTGTAAAATCTTAACAAATACTGTATATTTCGTGGCTATCGTAGTAACAGTGTACTGATGTGATGCTTTTCTTCACTATGGATCCCTGTTATAATGTACGCTTATAATCATTTTAATATCTAAATAAAATCAAGTATAGAGTTCATTATCTCTACAGAAATTAAAATAAATTTCAAAATAAACTTTTTATGTTTTTTTGTTTTTGTTTTAAATGCTCTATATATAAGTGACTAACCTTAGCATGTCTTTTAATTTATAAAATTTAAACTACCACAGAATGAATGAATGTTCATAGACAAATGATGTTCTTTGCAGAATAAAATTGTTTAAAAGGAATCAGTCATAAAAAGAAGATCCCTCTTTGTCTTGTTCACATAAGTGACTAAACTCAAAATGTTTTAAGGATTTTTTTTTTAATAGTTCATGCTTAGAAATTGAGATTTTTCACATAAAAATCTAGGTTCCCAGCTTCTCTCAGAAAATTGGAAGATCTAGCAAGTCAAGCTAAATTGCTACTACCCTCCTATATTTTTTCCAAATAATATTTTATGAGCACATTCAGTAAGTACATATCTCATTCAGTTTTAATGGTTGCTTTGTATGAGTGTCCTCTACTTTAATCTATAGCTTGTGCACCCAACAATTTTAATATAAGGAAGCACTACAGTGAACCTCCTTGTATATATATCTACAATATGTCATTATTTGCTCAGGATCAATTCCTAGAAATTGAATTGTTGGCCCAGAGGGTATACATAATTTAAAATCTTGTAATACATAGTTCTGAAACAACTTTCAGCGTGGTTGTACTATTTTAATTCATCAGTAGTGTAGGAGTTGACTGCATTATTTATAAATTCCTCTAAACTTTGCCAATAATCCTTTATTTTAATTTTTGTCATTTTGGTAGTGGAATACGATGTCTTATTAATTTTAGTTTCTGTTACTTGAGTAATAGACAACCTGTTCTATGTTGCATATATATATATATGTATATATATATTTTTTTTTGGCCTCAGATTTGTGATACATGTTTTTTTTTCATGCTAAACTTTTTAAGTGGTCTTTGATTTCATTCTTTGACGTCAAGCACAGAAGATGCCAACTGTATTTTCTTCTAGTGTTAACATTTTTTAATATTTAAATCTTTAATCCTGGATTCATTATAGGATACATATTTTCTCTCCCTTGACTTTCTCCTAAATTGTTAACCCAGCAATGTCTATTGAATAACCAGAGAAAGTTTTTTTAGTCAAATAAATGACCTAATGAGCTATCATGTTTCTTTCTATTAATTGTGTGTCTCCCGCCCCCCCCAAAAAAAATGATGTTACCTGTCTCTTTTCCCTCTAGAGTATCGAGATCGTTACGATTCAGACCGATACCGTGATGGGTATCGGGACAGTTATCGTGATGGTCCGCGCCGGGATATGGATCGCTACGGAGGCCGGGACCGCTATGATGACAGAAGCAGCAGAGACTATGATAGAGGTCATTATAAAACACCATTAAGTTAAATTCCTTTCTTTAAGAACTCTTTTTTTGCTTTTTCTTCCCTCCAGTGTGTTGATTACAATTTGGGATGTATTTACAGGCTACGATTCCAGGATAGGCAGTGGCAGAAGAGCATTTGGTAGTGGGTACCGTAGGGATGATGACTACAGAGGAGGCGGGGACCGCTATGAGGACAGATACGACAGACGTGATGATCGTTCATGGAGCTCCAGAGATGATTACTCTCGGGATGATTATAGGCGTGATGATAGAGGTAATCATTGTATTTTGCTTGCTTAATGGAGCAGATCACTGAAGAAAGTGATTGGAAATATTTCAGTAATGTTTCAAACCCCTTAAGTGGGCATAAATAGAATTTACACATTGTAAAGGATGTAGCTGAGCATTATAGAGCACTGGATAAGGATGATATAATGGAAGGAAAGCAAAGTATAGTTCTGACCTCCCTTAGCGTATAGATTTTTCATTTAAAATTTTATTGAGTAAACAAAATAGAAAAGGAAAATAAAATATTTGTCAGACATCTTTATGATGTGATCTCATTTAATAAACTACACTTAAATTAGGTAGTGTTAGTCCTATCTTTCAAGTGAAGGCGGTAACACTCAAACACGGTCTCATAGCCAGTAATTGGCACTGTGGGGCTAAAACCAAGTGTTACTGATTTCAGTGACATTATAAATTTCCACAGTAATTGATGTTCATTCATTAATGATGAGATGTCAGTGCAACTCTTCTAAAATTTATGCCTCTAATATTATGACAGTTGTATAAAATATTGTGTTATAAATCTGACTTCTAAAAGGTATCAATAAATGGCCATCACTTGTGTTCCGATTTTAGGATAGCATCAGAAAAGTAAGGCGTCTGGCCCAGAATTTTTCTCTTTATTTATCTTTAGATAGCAAGCCTAGCCACTTAATATCCCTTTGTCAGCCCTGACTTATTTTACCAAACACTTTATATACATCATCTGCTATAATCCTCCAAGTAAGGAAGGTAGACCTGGATAACTAATAAAACACAGTGGGATGACAAAAGTCATCAGAGTCATATTAAAATTCCACTGTAGTTACAGTCTTTGCTCCTTTGCAGACAGGAACTAAAAACTGCCCAACCATCATCATATTTTTGACCTTAACACAGTTTCTGAAATATAGGTGCACAAGTTATTTGTTCAGTAGGAAAATCAATGGACATTATCAAAGGAAGAAGAAAGGGGAAAGAGAAATAAAGTTGCTTTAATAATAAAGATTTTAAACTTTAGTCCACCAAATATTAGGTATATGACTCAAATAAGTTACTCTTTCTGACCCCCAGTTTTATCCTTCACAAAATTATAGAGATTAAAACTATCGGAAGTTATGTAAACTGTGAACTTAAAACCCTTATAGAAAACTTATATCTTGCTATATTATATCCTTTACAGATAGATAAATATGTAGTAAAAGTATAAAGACATGCATGGGGATAACAAATACCAAGTTGCACAGTGGTTATAGACAACAGCACAGCTAGGCTTGTCATTAGAGGAGGATACTCAGGAAGCATCAGTGATTTTTGTAGTGTTTTATTACTTCAGCCAGATGGTTGGTAAACATAGGCTTTCATTATTTTCTATATCTTTTGTATATCTGAAATATTATAGTTAAACACTGATTTTGAGAAATTCAGTTTCCTTGAAATATTCAGGTTTATCTTAAAATATGCTGACAACTTGGATCCAGAAAGAAATCCAACTTCCTTAGAGTAAATATTCAGATGTATAGTGTTTCTTGCTTTACCCTGTGAATCACCATCAGATTTCTGTTATACACAGAGACAAGAGTATAAGACTAGAGCCTTCCCTATCATATTGTTATAAGCTTTTAACCTGCTTGAAGTAATCCATCTTTCAGACCACATTTTTTTGAACAAGGTACTTTCATTCAGTAGTTTATTGTCATTGAAAATTCTTTCCCGGGTAATAGGAGTCATGATGAATGATTGATTTACTGTATACATTTTTACCGTTTTTAGTTTTACCCTTAGTCTGGTACTGCATCATGGATGTGGTGATGGAAAAACTGATTGGACTTGATTATTTAAACCACCTATTTTCTAATCTCCTTCTGACATTCTCTGCTGGATTGGTTAGGCTGCCAATCTGAATCCCATATAGCATTCATAAGAGCTATGTCTGAGAATCCAACTTTCAGCCATTAGTTTCTGATGATTTTGAAAAACTATTACTTAGAGTTTTGTTTAACTTAGGTCCCCCCCAAAGACCCAAACTGAATCTAAAGCCTCGGAGCACTCCTAAGGAAGATGATTCCTCTGCTAGCACCTCCCAGTCCAGTCGAGCAGCCTCTATCTTTGGAGGGGCAAAGCCTGTTGACACAGCTGCTAGAGAACGAGAAGTAGAAGAGCGGCTACAGAAGGAACAGGAGAAATTGCAGCGTCAGCTGGATGAGCCAAAACTAGAACGACGGCCTCGGGAAAGGTGAGGTGATCTTCAGTTAAGGATTTCCCATTTTGAGTCCAGTGGTTCTTAGTAGGAGCATTACATCCCCATGGGGCACTTCCGAAATTTGTGTGAATGTTTTTGGTTGTCATTCATCAGTATTTAGTATACATAGTATACATAGGTGGTCTTTAGCATATGGGCAGTTTTACCCAGTAAAGTGTTGTTGCCAGTCCATCACAATTTTGAAAAAGGCCTGCTGGACCTAAGCTGCAACAAATGTAAATTGGTGGTACTTTAATACAGGAGTCAACAAATTATGTATAACCTAGGCCTGTTTTTTATAAAGTTTCATCTGGCCCTTGAAGAAAGATTTGCAGACCTACTAAAGTTAAACCCCACCACTGTGAGGTGAGTGGTTGACCTCTTTTCAAGTTACTGGGGATAAAATAGAAATGTTTTCATTTGGTGAGTATAGGCTAAATTGTTTTTCATTTATTTTTGCTATGTGTATGTATATGAGTGTTACTTCAGGACATTAAAGGAATCATCATAAAATATTTATTACAGAAAGGTGGCATTGGCTCTGATAGGGTAGAAACCTCCGTAACAGTGTTATGAAAAACAAGACTTAGTTTTAGAATTGTGTTACCAGTAACGGAAGGGGTAGTGTTGTAGATGATTTAGAAGAATGTTCTTTACCCTAGCTGGTGCTTGCTGAAGTATTTGGAGCCAGTATTTTAATGTCTGCAGCTTTCAAATGGTATGAAGAAAAGAGAGAGACAGATGCACACACTTGCCCATAGATAAAGCAGGTGTGATAAAATATTAATAAGTGATGGTTCTTGGGTCAGCATGGGTCTGAGCTGGACCTAATGTATTTTGTTAAATCTCTTACAGACACCCAAGCTGGCGAAGTGAAGAAACTCAGGAACGGGAACGGTCAAGGACAGGAAGTGAATCATCACAGACTGGGACCTCATCCACATCTGGCAGAAGTAAGTCAGACCAGGGTGGGTATCATATTATTGCCCTTTTCCGTAACCTGTTCATAACCAAATTATAAATTCAGTCATGGATTCTGTTTGGGTTGCTAGTGTGAATTAATCCGAGTTTCACATCTCCTCCTCTGAAAAATAGAAGTGGGCACCAGAGGAGACCTAGATCGTCTGTTTAATAATTTTCCGTTAAAGAATATATATTTGACTCATGTTTGTCTCTACATTTTATGTGTTGACATCTCAGAGTTACGTTTATTCAGAGTAGTCATAGTCCTGTAGCTCTGTGAGCTGCTCCCAGGGCCAGCCTTTTTTCATGTGTCATATATGACAGAGCAGTGTCTCAAGTGTTGATATTCTTCTCGATTCTCTCACTTGAATTTAATGATTGCTCACAAGCATATTTAGTGTTTTAGAAACTGAATGGTTCAATCATAACACCTCCCTTCCCTTATTGTAAGCCAGTTTTTTTAAGGCTTCTCTCACTTCTAAATTGATTTGTACTTGAGCACTTCAAAACATGGCTCAGGGCTTGGGTGATTTGGAAATTCATCCAAGCATTGTAGAAGCTTTCTGGAAATTATTCATACTGAGGTAGCCTCTTAGCAACAGGATGTAATTACTCTTTTTGTAGCCAGGTAGGAGTATGGTGGTTGGGTTGATTAGTTTGTTTACTTCTGAAGAGCTTGCACTTAAAATGTGGAAAGTATCTAACAAAACAAGCTCCTAGTTTTGAAGAGACATTAGATGCCCTTTTCAAAAAACACATGAGTATGTTCTGTTTTTTAATAAATATATAAATGTGATCGTAGTATGTTTTGTTTGTGTGTGTGTTGAGCCTCTGAGTTGAAGTTGATCAGTGGTTCCTGGAGTTTCAGATTTCAACATGATTCTCCTACACACACATATACCCCATTCTCCAAATTCAGCCATTTTAACACAATCCAGAAAGGCTCTGTAATTCTAAAATAATGCTCGTTCCTAGGAAAAATCACATGGCTGTCCTTGTAGAGTCATTTTTCCTATTTCTGTTAGTAAGACATCTTCTCAAAATGACATTTGGAAACCTCTGGTAGCCAAATTAGTGTCTGTATTTAAAAATAGTGATGGAAAGCAGTAAATATGGTTGTGGACCATTTCTCGCTCTGTTAGATCCTAATAAATGGTTATACAATAAGCCTTTTTTTTGACCTCCCCACTCTGACTTCACAGATGCACGAAGGAGAGAGAGTGAGAAGTCTCTAGAAAATGAAGCACTCAGTAAGGAGGAAGACTGTCACTCTCCGACTTCTAAGCCTCCCAAACCTGAACAGCCTCTAAAGGTAATGCCAGCTCCTCCACCAAAGGAGAATGCTTGGGTGAAGCGAAGTTCTAACCCTCCTGCTCGATCTCAGAGCTCAGACACAGAGCAGCAGTCCCCTACAAGGTAAGTCAGCCTGGAAACATAGCAGTTGATTAGCTGTAGAATCTTAAATATTGTGATGTTATGATGGAAAGTGGCCTCTTAGTTCAGACTCAGTAGTGTACTGGAGCTGGCTCATAATTGTTCATTTATGTTCCAGTTGTTCCATTTCCTGGGGTTTTGATATCTGGTCAGCATCATTTTGGTGACTAGAAATCTAAAAATGCTATAAATCAGAACCCACCACTGCCACATTTTGGCAGTATAGCCTTGGTGGGGGGAATCCGGGGTGGGGTTCCACTTCACTTTCCTAAGTCTTAGGGTTTTTATTTGTAAAATAGAGAATAATATTAACCTTGTGTGATTGTGATGATTCTAAAGGACTTAGACTTAGTGAGTGTTTAAAGAATTGCTTTTGTTGTCTTTCTTATATTTTAATGTTCTACATTAAGTATGTATTTTTGGTTCTCTGTAAAGCTTACTGCACTTGGAGAATGATTATAAGTTTCTTATCTGTTCCTTTTCCAAGACAGCTGATGAATGTGATTGTGTTTTCCTTCTAGTGGTGGGGGGAAAGTAGTTCCAGCTCAACTGTCTGAGGAAGGACCAGCAAGGAAAGGTAAGACCAAAAGGGGAATAATATGTTTATCTAGAGGCCTAAATAAAAAAGCCTATAGAGGATTCATGAAATATTGAACTTCAGTGTATTTTGCACCCGTTTTATGTTAAAAGTTC